ATTAATGTTTGTAAATTGTTTTTACTTCTATTCTTCATGGAAATAATTGGCCACTTTTTATTGATTTGTGAGTAGTATAGTAACAAATCAAGAGGTAAGTTAATTGTTTAGACCATGTAGAAAAAGTCAAAATTTTGGTAGAAGGTAGATATACACTTTCATTAATTTTGCAGTCGTAATTAAATGCTTTAATTGTTATTGAATGCTCTTAATTAAGTAAGGGAGACGAGATAGAAAATGTTAGCATTTGAATAACTTAGCGTGAAGATAGTTGATTCTTGGTGCAAGAAAATCATATTTTTCTCATTTTTCTTTAAACTCGTTGATGTAGCCAAAATCCCTTTCATACTTTTCTTCCATGTTGATGTCTAACTAAAACAATAGATGGGACGAACGTGTAACCTTGTTTCGAACCTTAATTTCAATTATTATGTTTTGATATTCAATTAATGTTTGTAAATTGTTTTTACTTCTATTCTTCATGGATATAATTGGCCACTTTTTTATTGATTTGTGAGGAGTAACAAATCAAGAGGTAAGTTAATTGTTTAGAAAAAGTCAAAATTTTGGTAGAAGGTAGATATACACTTTCATTAATTTTACTAAATGCTTTAATTGTTATTGAATGCTCTTAATTAAGAGTTACCATATTCACATAGAGATACAGTGAGTTGGATTGATTTGAACTTGAGAGAGATAAGATAAATCAATTAATTTAGAAAAATTCAATCAAGTGTACGTAGTTGATTGTTGGTGATTTAGATTAAGAAAATAACTATGATAAACCCGTCTAATCTAACACTTTTCATGCACAAGTAAAAATTTAAAGTGGTCAATTTGTACAATTTTTTATTTTCATTTATAATCTTTAGGATCATAATTAAAACCACTTTAAACTGTGTTTACTCAAATAGAAGTTAGGCATAGTTAAATCAATAATTAGATAGATAGTTCTCGTGAAAATGATAATTTGAACCCTCTAAATTCACTTTACTACGTATTTAAACGTCATTATACACTTATAATTACCACACAACAATAGACGAGTATCGTCGTTCTTAACCGAATTTCCTTGCAAAGACGTTTATCTCATATATTTATAACCGTTATAAATATTACTCTCGTGTTGGTCAATCTATTAATTTTTGTACACTCACGTTTCTTAACTAACGTGTGATTTTAGGTAAGGATGAGGACGCATTTATACACTTGCCACCTTATAATGAAGTCATGTCATTCGCCATAACTCCTATAAATAAGGAGCAAAGATACGAGGTATTACACATTACATACATTCTTTTTCTTATAATTTTACATACAAATCACTCTCAATCTTCTTCTCTTACTAATTCTCTCACCCGAATTGTCGCGGGAGAAGAGCCTCCTCACTTCTTTACAAGCTTTAGGCAGTCAACATTACCATTAGTGGAGGAGAAGAGATAACGCGAGTATTAATTTTGTAAGTACTTAACTTAATACAAATACATTAGTATATCTCGTGTACACAATCTATTGGAGTCAACTAAGTGAACTATACCAAGATAGCACATTTCATGTTAACTCGACCTGAATTAAGTTGGAAATCGAGTTGAAAGAATAGGTTTTTTTTTTTTTTTTTTTTGGGAAAAAATGTACTTTATATTTTCTTGTAATTGAAAAAGAGACTTGATAAGAATTTCAAAAAAATACTTTTCTTCATTTATTTTGTGTCATAATAAAATAGATACGCCCACAATGGACCTTCAAAACAAAAGCACGACCATCCAATTTGAGGAAAAACTGACAAGCCAGCAAAAATCGAAATTAATCAATTGCACAAAAACCAAAAGGAAAAATAATTACTTATTTCTTCATTGTCTATTCATTCAATCTCAAACATGCACCCCACGTTCTTCCAATGTCTCACTTCTTCAGAGACCTTGGGAAAAAATTCCAAGCCACTTCTCAAAATTCCCGCATCACATTGAACCTCTGGTTTTGTGAATTTTTTTCTCCATTTTTGAGAATTATTCCTTCATTTAATTCCATATTCACTACGCTTGAATCAGAAAATGGTTCGAGCGATGAAGGAAGATGATCAACTAATGGAACAGCAAAAAACCCGATCAGGCAGCGATGGAAGGAAAGAGGGGCAACATTCAGGCAAGTCAATTATAATTATCATTTTTCCAATTTTTGAAAACGTTCTGACGTTTTGTTCATGATCCGGAGATTTTCATGTTGTACGCATATTGAAGATTGATACATTTAAGTCGGGGAATTAAGATGCCGCTATGCATTCTGATTACAGAAGCTTGTTCATATGAATATATTAAGTCGGCTAAATGAATCTTTATCCAGATTTGTTCAAGGTCCAGCTTCAACTTTTAGACGAGATAGTATCATAGCGAATGTTTTGTCGCATTGTCAGCCACTATGAAATTGTACATATAGTGATGATAAAATGAATCTGGGCTTGTATGTATACATATTTTATGTTGTTTATAAATGCCTTATTAAATTTTGGCTATGATTTAGATATGGAGCAAATGAAGGAAAAGTTTGCAAAGTTGCTTCTCGGGGAGGATATGTCCGGTGGGGGAAAGGGTGTTTCATCGGCTCTGGCACTTTCGAATGCTATCACGAATTTAGCAGGTATTTGGATTTTGATTTTTTATCTTACTGATGTTTGAACAAATACTAAATTAAGATTTGTTCGTCAATTTCTTTTGTCTTGAAGGAATTTTTGCATAAGAAATTAGTCGAATGACAATGTATTGTTACAGAATTTGAATGTAGCACAAAGTTTTTTTTTGTATTCTTCGTAATTCTATATTTTCCCGAGCAAATACAGCCTCTGCATTTGGAGAACAAAAGAGATTAGAACCCATGGCACCAGAGACCAAAGCAAGATGGAAAAAGGAAATTGACTGGCTCCTATCTGTCACAGATCACATTGTCGAATTCATGCCTTCAAAACAAAGGTCGAAAGATGGAACACAAATGGAGGTAATTCTCTCTCTCTCTCTCTCCCCATCGTAATGTTTCCCCAAGGCATATTCATTGGAGCAAGCCTAGTTATGGACCAAACGTTCTTGTGTTTATAATCCATTTTTAAGTACGCAATGTTTCTCATTCTTTATCAGATTATGGTGACAAAGCAACGAACAGATCTCCAAATGAACATCCCTGCCCTACGAAAGCTCAATGCTGTGCTCCTAGTAAGAGAACAAATCACCTTATGTTTGGTTTTTTTTCGCGTTAGAGTTCATTTTTTTGGCAATGGTTACTCAATTTCATAGTGTCAATGATAAGCAGGATTGCCTTGATAACTTTAAAGACCAAAACGAGTTCTACTACATAAAGAATACCGATGGAAGGACAGACGATAAATGGTGGATTCCTACTCCTAAAGTTCCTCCAAATGGCTTAAGTGAGACGACGAGAAAGTGGCTACAGTCTCAGAAGGATTCTGTAAACCAAGTACTCAAAGCAGCAATGGCCATAAACGCTCAGGTGTTGTCGGAAATGGAGATTCCCGAAAGCTACATAGATACTCTCCCTAAGGTAATAAAAAAACCTTAAAATTTTATCGCATTTCTATGTTACTAGAGTAAGCGTTTATAGCGTGTTTGGAATACAATAATAGACAACACAATAATAGCTTATTTTTCATGACAGAATGGGAGATCAAGCCTTGGAGACTCGATCTACAAGAGCATCACGGATGAATACTTTGATCCAGATAATTTACTTTCGACTCTGGACTTGTCATCGGAGCATAAAATCCTCGACTTCAAAAATAAGATCGAGGCTTCTGTGATAATCTGGAAAAGGAAAATGAATGCTAAAGATAGCAAGTCTTCTTGGAGTTCAGCCGTGAGTTTGGAGAAGAGAGAACTTTTTGAAGACAGAGCAGAAACAATTATGCTCATTCTAAAGCACCGGTTTCCTGGAATTCCACAATCTTCTCTCGACATCAGTAAAATCCAATGCAACCGAGTAAGAAGTTCTTTCAATCTCACTTAACTCCTTCAAAGTCACTTTTTTCTGCAGAAATTAGCACGTAACTTATGGCATATTTGGCGGGGAAAATTGAGTAGTGTTGGACAGTATGAAAAGAAGAAAGAAAAAGAAGCTCAAATCTTGTTCATAATACTGTTGTCACCTATCTAGTAGTGTATACCAAACAGGAACTTAGTGTCCATTTTGGCTAAACTTTTCATCTTTGCTCGGTCTTGCAGGATGTGGGACAGGCTATTCTAGAAAGCTATTCAAGAATAATTGAAAGCCTAGCATTCACAGTGTTGTCGAGAATAGAAGATGTCATGCAAGCCGACTCTCTTGCACAGAATCCATCAAACGGAGAACAAAAGAGGTACCCCTTAAAAGACCCTTCACCTATTACCGTGAAATTTCCAAATCCTAACGAAGAATTAGAGAAAACAAATTCAGATGAAACGCCAACTTCAATGACACTCTTGGATTTCATGGGATGGAATTTAGATCAAGGAGAGTCTGATGCAAACAAAGATGTTGATGCAAAGGTCCCCTCTAAACAGGCTAACATTGTGACGAACAAGAAATTTTCCTACATAGAGAGGCTAGAGAACTTAGGGTGTACAAGAAGTCCAACAGCGCGCCATTAATTGATTCTGTTGCAGAACGAAATCATCAGAATCGACAACTAACTGGCAGAACTCAACTCTAGTATAAGAGCTCAGCCCTAATGTACATACACAATTTGGTTATGCCATAGAGGATCTTGTAAAGTTCTAGTGCTCGTTCTGTGAATAGGAAGTATATGCTGAATTGTACTCCATGGATTATATTGTGACTTATTTTGAAACTGAACTTAAGTTATTAGAGACTTTATGATTGAATCAGATACAACTAGAATGGCACTGAAATACGTGTAATAATAAACAGAGCCACGAGTAGATTCTGATATACTTACAGGCTGATGAAATGACAAATTGAACACAATTGATTTAAAAGATTGAAAATGTGATACCGAGGAATTAGATTTTGCCACGAGGCCCGGGCTTGGGTGGAAGTTGTGGGCCCTTTACAATCGGTAGAACGTCTCCTGTTGCTTTGGAGCTCACATAAGCAATGGTGAAGCCACCTCCCAATATCAAAAACTTGAGCAATAGACCTCTCTTGGTGAAAGGAGCAGCAAATGTCTCGAAGAACTTGCTCTGTGATCGTAAATTAATGTCAACAACAAAACTAAACTATAATACTAGCCTGGCACTGAACTTCCAACCACTTCGACACTCAAGATAGATATATATACCTGAAGGGGATTGTATGGTGAAGGTGCATCTGATCCATACAAGTCCCATTGGCCAGTGGTGTTGCCCAAATCCTCCAAATCAAAGTATACACTCTTGTCACCATACTTTGCCACCACAGCACCAGCCCTGCATAACAAAACCATAATATAAGATTCAACACTCCAACTTCACATATTCTAGGCAGTTGTCACCAAGAAATACTCGAGTAACATAATTGTTGCCTTCGAGTCAAAATCATGAAAAATTAGTTCACATACGAATGACTGAGGTGGTTTCAATGTTGTATCAAAGTAGACACAAGGCCGGAGTTCGAATTCATATTAATATACGCATCTCCTTTTAGACGACGTAGTTCAACAAGTGGAGTCGGAAATTGTTACCTGTAGTTTGTGGGCTTAACTTTTAGGGAAGATGGTTTGACATGGAGCTTAGTTCCAGCAAGGGAGCTTCCAGCAAGGCCCTTAACACTTGAGGGCTGCACTGCAGCAAAGGTTGCCAAGGATGCCATTGGGTATGCTAATCAATCTAAATCTAAAATGTGAAGGGCCAAGTTAATAAAATGCATTGGTATTTTGATCATTTTCCAAAGGATCTTGGATTGCCACGTGGCACTCTGGGATTCTTTGTAGAGATTTTGGAATCCCATTAAGGAGGTGCCACGTGGGTTATAGTTGGATAAGCCTATCCCTTTGAGATTATTGGTTCAATTTTTGGCCTTTGGTTGGCTTCATGTGCGGTCCCCAATATTGAGGTCTTTAGTATTTAAATCTAACCTTTCGTTTTAGGTGCACTACTGCACTTTCTTCCTTTTGCATAGAAACTACCCAAGCCTCCATTTGAGAAGAATTTATAAGCGATTTGTTTTATAAATAGATAGAAATGTAAATAAATAAGTGAATGTTACTTGTAAGTCAATTAAAAAGTCTAGTTCAAATGAAATGTGTAGTCCCCAAAAATGTGTTGTTCGTTACTACTTTTTCCTTAATTTATGGTATTTGAAACATTTACCTTTATTGCAGAATACCTTCATTCTTTCATTTTGACAGAATACTCCCTCGATGGCCTTTTTTCTTACGGAAGATCCCCTACTATCCAATTTGGTTAGTTTAGGAGTAAAAATAGTAATGATACCAATAATATAAGGGTATTTGGAGCAATACCCCAACGTACCTATTTTGTGTAATACCCACTTAACCTTTTATTATGGCGCAATACCCCTCTAACCCTTCATTTTGGCCAAAACCCCCTAAATTATCCAAACTTCGTGGAATACAACATTTTTATCATTTCTCTATAAAGCATTGTAAAATGAAAAATTTACGTGCCTCTTTAAATTTAAAAAAAAAAAAAAAAAGAAGAAGAAGAAGAAACAATTGCAGTCAGAAGCCCTTTTTTTTTTTTTAAATATGCAAGTGAGTCTAACTAAAAAATATATATTTCTTAAAAAAGAAAAAGAAAAAGTGCATCTTTCTTTTTTTTTTTTTTTTCTCCCACATATTGGGAAATATGAACTTTTTCCTTTTTAAAAAAATATATGTTTTTTTATTTTTTATTTTTATTTTTTTAGTTAGACTCATTTGCATATTTTGAAAAGATTTGGGGCTATGACTATAATTGTTTCTTAAATTTTTATTATTATTTAAAGAAGAGGATAAATTCATTATTTTACAAGGCTTTCCGGAGAAAAATGACGAAAATATTGTATTCCACAAAATTTGAATAA